GCCATTAAATGGTGGCGCGAATGAAGTCGCATCACCATGTCAATTATAAGAGGGAAGCGAAGTATGTATCAGAGGCAGTACCTCGTGGTCAACTTGCCGCTCAACGCTCGCCACCGGGGGAATGAAATGATCCCGCAGTAGTTGGAATTCGTTGGCGCACCGAGGTCCTATTTACTGTCAAAAGTAAGCATCCGCCTTTTACACGAGACAGAAAATTGCAACTAGAGGACGCGGTACTATTTTTGCTGTGGCAACTTGAATGGAGTCTGCTGTGAGGCGTGAAAACCGCACAAATTGCATGGAAGTTTGAGTTGCTGAAGGGTCCAGTAGGAGTCATTTGATGTCCGTGTTGAACCACGGGTTGATACGGAATGGAGCACACAGTTGTTATGCATCGGATTGTATGGCGCTGTGTAATCAGCCGTAGACGGGTGCGAAGTACCCTGTTTCAACGAAAGGATTACATGTCTGCCTTGTAATCCGGAGGTCATCGGTTCCAATCCCACGTGTAAGTGCGGCCGATCTCGCGGTGAGCCCAGCCGACGCGTGATTGTGGTTGGTCGCGTGGCAACGAAGTGTCGGTACGGCGTGTCATAATAATGCTGATGCTTATTTTCTTCTTCATTATTCCACTGGAAATGATGTAGGATCGACCCAGTTGAAAATGGATATCAAATGTCAATAGATTCGCACGTTCTCCGGGTGGAACAATGGATTTATCATGGACAAAAAAGCAAACGCTCAACAATTTCTGTAGGTAAAGAGTGAGAGAAAAGATGAATCCATCAAGAAAAAAATGCGTCGCGGAGGATTTAGCTCCAAGTTCACGTGTATGTCGTGCCCTATCCCAGTAACGGATTAAATCTTGTAATACATGTGGTGTAATGTGTTATCGAGTCGAGTTTTGAATTCAGCTATCTTAGGAGCCGAGATGACAGAGTGAGGAAGTAATTTGCACTGCTAGGATACATGAATGAAGAGAATCGTCCGGTGGTATTCCGACCGGTTGTATTCTGTGGGCACTTCCAAATGGTGGCCTCTCAGTGAGGTATTGTGGTTGAGTTTTTATAATGGTCGACATGGGTGGTTCGGATCTGATATACTAACATGGAATCACCTCGCAGAAGACAATATTGTCCACTGAAAACTAGAGTCATTAGTCTAAAATAGTAAGGGAGGTGGAGCAATCCCTTAACATTTTGTCCCATTGGTTGTGGATTCTCAAGAATAGCGAGGTAATGCTTTTGCCTGGGGTGCCACACCTGTATGGCGAATTCTACATGTAGTCTCACGTAAGCGCTTGGCATTCGCGAAAAGGTGTGACCGAACCGTCCAAACGCCCTACGTAGAAGGCCCAAGTGTTGACTGACTTTCTCACTGTATTCTAGACCTGTTTTGAGCAACCGAGATCGTCCTGCGTTAGTAGCCCAAAAATCATTCATATGAGAAGCGCGCTGCAAAACCTAGTCATCATCATCAGCAGCAGCAATAGACGTTAGCCGGAAGTAATAAACAAACCTCAGCTAATGTGCCGAAATACGAAAAGATATGGAGAGAAAAAACGAGATAGCACATTATACAATATAAAAGGATAAAGGTAAGATGATGCTTAGTGTCATATTAAGCAATACGCTTGAGATAGTGGTTGGAGAAGTAAGATAAACAGGATGGGGAGGAACGAAAAAACTCACAACGCAAACGCCATTGAGGTCGGCTCTTAGATAAAGCAACAAGTGTATTTAGCCAAATGTGTTCATCGTCCTTCGGACCCCAGCCCGGCAGTCGGGAGACACCAACCATTTTGACCAAGACATCGCTTGGCTTCCCCTCCACTTCTTCCGTGCACAAGTTGGCACGCAAACAACGCACAACCTGGGATTCGAGGTACTACCATGTGCCACACGTGGCCCAGGCATCGGAGCAGCGTACTTAATACAACGGTGCTGAGCGGTTCCCTCCTACTTCCTGCACCAAACACGCGACAGAGAACACGCTCTTTGCGCATGTGGCGTAGGCCAATTATTCTGCACTTGACAGAGTTAAGCATGTTTTGCGCCGAACACTCATAAGCCTGTCGAGATCACCTTATAGTGTTACGTGATCCAACCTGTGACATTGCCGCTCACCGAATCACCTGAGCAGAAGTGGGAGGTAGACGTCACATCTTCCACTTTGGAAGAGATTCGACATGAGCTTTCCCCGTTGAAACGAAACAAGCATCCTGGGCCAGACGACGCTTCATCTTTGCTGAAAATTGGTGGTGACTCTTTGTTGACTCGACTTGCTGCTCTATACAACAAGTTTTAGAACACAGAAGAGGAGCCTTCAGACTAGGGACTGTGCAAAAATCATCCAGGCATTAGCCTTATTGCCATTGCCTAAAAACTTCTAACGGGTATCATTCTCAAACGAGTTACTGGTCACCGTGAGAACCGAATCACTGAAAGTCAGGCTGGCTTCCGCCTTGGTTGTGGTTGCATCGACCAAATATTTACTCTTCGTCAAATTTTAGAGCCCAGACACACTTAAAGACGACAGACCATGGCGGTTTTCCTGGACCTGAAAGCCTCCTACGATTCTACTGACCACGCCAGCTTGCGGCAATGTCTATCCATGAATGGCGTGTCCGCTTAATTCCATTCCATTACGCAGTCTCTCCACCGTGATCCCGAGGCCGTGTAAGGGTCAATGGGAAACTGTCTCCTAAGTTTCCCACGACAAGTGGGGTTCGGGAGGGTTGTCCGACATCTCTTTTCCTCTTCAACTTTGTAAATCAGAACGATCATAAATGGATTCGTTCTTTCAGGCTCTTCCGGAGTGGAAGTTGTGTCAAGTGACCAACTGACAAACCTGGAGTATGCGGACGACATAGCTCTTTAAGACTGACGCAGTGGTGATGTAAACACTACCGCATAGACTGGCGCGTAGCGATACACGCTTCTGAATGTGCTTTGCATCTTCAAAGTGAAAAGTATTGCTGTGGAACTGAACCTATGCGCCACTGGCTCCAGCTAGCACAGAACAGCCACTGGAAGTGGTGGGTCGGTTCTCTTACCTCGGTAGTTGTGTCACCTCTGGTGGTCACATCACTGAGCAGGTAACTTCGCGTATCAGCAAGACCCGTGTGGCTTTCCAGAGGTTCAAACATCTATAGAGACGGTGAGATATCAGCGTGTCGGTGAAAGGTAGAGTGTATAACGCTGTCGTAAGGCGGTCTTAATGTACGAATCATAGACCTGGCCAGTTCACGGCGATTGCAGTAATCGCTTAGCCGTTTCTGACCACCGGTGCTTGCGGAGTATTGCTCACATCTAGTGGAAACACCGGGTGAGCAGTGCTGAGGTCATCTAGTTGGCTGTTAGCAAGAATCTTTATGGTTCCTATCTCGAGTGTCTGCTGAATCTTAACCGCTTACGTTCGTAGGCCATGTCCTCCGTATGCCCGTTGACTGGCTTCCTGGGTGTGTATTATACGCCGTGGCTGTACCAGATTGGGCGAAACCGCGAGGTGTCCAGTCCATGACGTGGCATAGCATGGAGGCATAAAGAAATTGACTGAGAGACTTCGTCGGACTGGTGCATGCAGTCTTCGTGGATGGGGATGGTTGGAAACTGTAAACCATTGGCACAGTTACGCAGTCAGTGGCGTTCCTGCATTCGGTTTCTCGCATCTGCTTTTTAAATTTGGTTACATTCTCTTTGGTTTAACCCACTTTCTTCCGGCGTCTATTTTCTTTACATTCTATTTGCATTCAACCCCACTAAGTTGCTGCTGTTATCTATCGTTATTCCTTAGATGCGTCGTGGCAACTTGATCCACCGCCTTTCGGAGCTCGGATCATAGTTGTTCACCTCGCCGTTCAGTATCTTGATTGTCCACAAAGAACATTCGGTGTCAGCACCCCCGCAAGGCCATTTATGAACACTAGGAATAGGCGTGGTCCTGGTACCGAGGATTGAGGGACTGCACAGTGAACCTCTTTCGGGTCGGACACGGCGCTACGAACTCGCACATTCAAGAACCGTTGAAGTAAGGCAAAGGGCATCGGCAATATGCCGACAGTATGCCAACGCTTCGCTGCCGCGCAACCACCACCAGTCGCGCGTGAGCCAAGGGCACTTCGTGAGTCGCCCAGCCCCGAACCCGCGACCTCAGGGTTGCAAGGCAAACATGTGATCCGTAATGCCATGGACCGGGTGTTGGAATAGGAATGAACGTATACAGGCCAGGATAGGGTCATCGATCCTATAGCTCCAAAGCTTGTAAGCTTGATCTAAACGACGAAACGCTTTCGAGAAACCAAGATAGGCGGCGTTGACTCTTTCCCTAGTATCGAGGGATCCCGTTAAGCTGGAACGTGGTTTGTGATACATGAGAGAGCTTTTGGTGAAATCCATGCTGTTCCTTCACGATGAGATTGCACTGTTCTAACTATCCCATGAGTGTATCTGCTACAACATATTCCATAAGTTAAGCAAGCACAGGAAAAAAGTAAGCAGGCGGTAGTTTGCGGGCAGTGTGCACGATTGCCTGCTTTGTAAAATGGAGGTGACTACTCCATGCCTCCACAAAATTGTAAGCTGCATCTAATCAAGACGGCGCTGAAAGAACTGAGATAACAACTCAACTAAGCTAGTGGCAACTAACGTCAGAGTTTGAGTGTATGTTATCCAGATCAGGTGAAATGTACTCGTGTAGTGACATCAGAAGTTTCAGCACAAGCGCGACAGTGAAGTCGATGTGTCTAAGTCCTGGTGATGAGGTGATCTGTGTGAGAATGGTATGATGTAATTCAAGAAACACTACGAAAACGGTAATCAATCACTAACACTGCAGTGTTGCTGTTACCAGAGACGATGAGCCAATCTTTCTGTCGATAGAGGGTAAACCAAAGTGCATAACGTAACGAAGCGTCTCAGACAAAGTAGGCTTGCCCGAGTGAAACAAGGGATAGACAACAAGCAACAATCTAGAACGGTCGTCGTTTAATGGACACTTACAAGGACTGCTCGTCTGCATCGGGGCTGGAATTGGGGGAATTATTGAGTATGGCGCTGGATTGACCAGGGGTGGTTTGTACAGTAGAGCGATCGCCACAGGTGCTTTCCTCTGATAATATGATGAGGTCATCGCTGTCGTCCCCAGGTGGGGCCTTGAGAAAGAGATGTCAAGGGAAAAAATGGGACGAAATCAGGCGGTCAGCGACATGCATGTGGGGATCTAGCATGTGGAGCCGTGTTAGCCACACGCCACACCATGCGGAAATATTTTTCAACACGGAATGAGAAGAATGGAACTGATAAGAAGTGTAAACTGCATCAAGCAACTTAAACGAGTGATCGTGACGTTTCTAAGCGCATATCATCTAATTGACAGTTAGGTAACTTTTCATTGATGTACCCGAAAGAGGTGAGAGCCTGCAACCCGATGGTTTCGATAGACATTATTCCTCATTATACATGTTAGCTAGAGGTGGGAAACACCTCAGCTATTGTGCCGCAGATATTCAAGGTACCAGCCCCGAAACACCGGAGTAGTTTGGATGGAGTCAAATGGCAACGTGTATGCCAAAATAAAACCGATAGGGTTTTATATAAGTTGATTGCGAGATTCAACGGACGAAGTGAATTGTTCGAACCTCAGGAATAGGAGTAAATGGCTCGCGTTAACTTGTGAGGTCACTAGGGGACACATATCCCAGAAGTGAGAAGTCCGTAGTGAAATGGCGGGGACGGCGGGATAGTTGTGAAGGAACAACAACAGAAGTCTTTGTGAAGACTCGTCACACTTAGGCAGATAGGCGCCACACACAGGGGAAAGTACTAGACGGCTGGTGAATCCTATCGAGACTCGTCAGTAGCGCGCACCGACCGAATGCTCCCGGATCCGGACCCACGACCATACTGATGCGAGGCAGCGACTTATGCCACTGAGCCATGGGAGACGCCAGCGGTGCGGCTCATCCTCCAATGCCATGCATGTCTTGAAAACTGACATCGTGATTGTTACTGGTGACATGAGTGCCCAAGTGGGTTGTTTTTCAGACTTCGAACAACACTCGGGAGGCCGCTTCGGAGTCGATGCACGCGGAACGCACAATGGCGATCGATTCCTGCAACTATGCACCAAGCACAATCCTCACATTCGCAGCACTGTTTGCCAGCACAAGCGTTCATATCGGGTCAGCTGGTGTGTAACGAATTTATCGACTAATTGGACTCAAATTACCCACATTGTCATCAGATGACTTGAAGGTGTGGAGAGTAATCCGCACACTCAATGATTGTGATTTACTTCAGCAGGACCGCGACCGCCTCTCGACATGGTCTGCAGAGGTTAACCTTCCGATCAACCCTGCTAAGTCGCAATTCATGAGGTTGGGTAAATGCGAGCACAGCCGAACGTACACAGTGGCTGATCAACCGCTGCATCCCGCGTCTTTCGTGCGCGACCTCGGTGTGCTCTCACGCTGCGACCTAAAGTCCATTGACAACACGAATAGGCTGTACCAAAACAGCCTTCGGATGCTTTGGGCGCTCAGGCGCCGCTTCAGCACTTGGTCCGAAGAGATTGCCACTCGCCTCTTCGTCTCGATAATACGACCAATGACAGAATAAGGCTCTCCCGCAAAATGTTCCCATCACGCTGGGAGAGGTAGAAAAGCTTGAGCGGGTGCAGCATGTAGCCACTAGGCTGATTCCCAACTTACGAGGTATGCCATATGAAGACCGATGTAAGAAACTAGGGCTGTACACCCTAGCATATCGTCGGCTGAGGGTTGACCTAATCATGACGCACCGGATATTACATCTGAGTGAATACCCCATGTTGAGACAACTGCTTCATCTGCGCATACCAAGTAGCACGCGAGGACACCGGTATAAACTTATCGTACCGCAGTTGAAGCGGGTAGCTCACCAACTCTGTTTCGAACGTAGAGTAGTGAATACCTGGAACAACCTGCCTCAGCCGGTAATAGAGGCCAATTCAGTGGCCGAATTTAAGAAGCTTCTAGACAAACACTTTGCAGAGGCAAAATATAAAGAGCAGAACGATAATTAATACGTTAATGTCCAAGAGCGACAATTGATGCAGCTACGCAGAGTATGCTCTACTCGCTGCTTCTAATCAGTATCAGTGTCAGTATCAGTTACAAATGATGTAAATCGGTCCAAGATCGTTGGTTGACTTGAAGTGCAAACCTGGATTTTGACAATGTCATAACAAACTGGCCCACTAATGGGATTGGTGAAATGAACGCTGACTAGAATCGTCTCATGTGTACCATAAAGAATGCATTTGACGCTCCCTGTACGCCCAACTTCAGACGTTCAGACTGTGAATGGAGCTCTGAGGAATCGATCAGCTTGATCGAAAACCTGCAAACAGGTTCTAATGGGTACCTGGTCTCAGCGTGTTAGTAATGCCCTGAAGGGACAAGTGACAAGGAGTCTTCAAATTGATGATAAACGTTGGTGGGTGGCAAGGATTGGTGAGATGGAGATAACCAGTTTTATCGGAGACAGGTGAGTACTGTACCAGACCATCCGGAACATGGGTCCAAGAAAGCCATCAGTTAGTGAAGCAATAGCTGAGAAAGTTGGACAGTTCGTCTATTCCCAGCCTCGTCCCCTTACCCGTCGGGGGGAACATTTTGAGGAGGCGCTCGACAGGTATTCTGCGACATTGCCGCTTGCTGAGCTTATGTAGAAAGCTGATGTCACATCAATCACTTTGGAAGAGACTCGACATGAGAATGCCGTGTCGAAACGTAACAAGGCTTTGGACCCGACGACACTTCCCCATCTTTGCTGAAAGATAGTGATGGCTTTATGCTTTCCGGACTTACTGCTCTACTCAATACGAGTTGGGACGCCGAAGAAGTGTCTTCATACTGGCGACTTTCAACCGCCGTGCATTGTACACGTCAGCCTTTCGTTTCCTCCAAGCTCCTAAAGGTATCATTCTCTAACGACTTGCCGGTACTCGTAAAAACCGAATCACTGAAACCCAAATCGCCCCGCTCTAGTCATGGATGAGTCGATCGGTCGGTAGTCGAAAGGATTAAGCGCCTGTGTCGTAATCCGGAGGTCATCGGTTCGAATCCGCTTCGCTACGGTTACCTAGTGAAATACCCAACCCACGGGAGAACTTTAGTGACCTTGTGGTAGCTAAGCGTCGTTACAGTGTGTCAGTGTTCTGTTGACACTCTTCATTGGTTTACTCCTCGTCAAATGTCAGATCAGAGACACACTAACAGTGGACCGATTATGGTGGTTGTCTTTGACTTGAAAACCATCTTCTACTGTCTCCTGAGTTACCCACGACAAATGAGGTGAGCCCGAACTATCCTATAATTCGTTTCAATTTCAACTTCGCAAATCAGAACGATCATAAATGGCTTCGTTCTTTCAGGCTCTTCCGGAGTGGAAGTTATGTAAAGTGACCAACTGACAAGCCCGGAGTATGCGGACGACATAGCTCTCTTTGAGTCCAACGCAGTGGCGATGTAAACACTACCGCATAGACTGGCGCGTAGCGATACATGTTTCTGAATGTGCTTTGCATCCTCAAAGTGCAAAGTATTGCTGTAGAACTGAACCTATGCGCCACTGGCTCCAGCTAGCACAGAATAGCCACTGGAAGTTGTGGGTCGGTTCTCTTACCTCGGTAGTTGTGTCACCTCTGGTAGTCACATCACAGAGTAGGTAACTTTGCATATCAACAAGACCCGTGTGGCTTTCCAGCGGCTCAATCATCTATAGAGACGGCAGGATATCAGCCTTCCAGTGAAAGGTAGGGTGTATAATGCTGCGGTAAGACAGATCTTAGTGCACGAATCATAGACCTGGCCAGTTCACGGCGATTGCAGTAACCGCTTAGCGGTTTCTGACCACCGGTGCTTGTGAAGTATTGCTCACGTCTGGTGAGAACACCAGATAAGCAATGCTGTAGTCCGCCAGTTAGTTTTGGACAAGAAGACTCCTGGTGCCTCGCTCCAGTGTTTGCTAAACGTTAATCGCTCAGTTGTTGTGGAGTTCTCCGAGCTGGGCAACTTGGTTGCAAAGGTTTCGCCACCATTCGAGGTGGCATCTTCAATGCGGGATTGATAGCAGTTAAGTAGTAGTAGCTGGTAGAAAGCAAACCCAATAACGGATCAATAACTCAACTCAATAATGGATTCATTATTGGGTTTGCTTTCTGCCAGGTACTGCTACTTAACTGCTATCAATCCCGCACTGAAGATGCCACCTCGAATGGTGGCGAAACGTTTGCAACCAAGTTGCCCAGCTCAGAGAACTCCACAACAACTGAGCAAGCCTCCCGAGCTACCAATATTCCAAATCATTTCAAACCTTAATCGCTTACGTTAGTAGGCCGTCCTCCGTATCCCCGTTGACCGGCTTCCTCGGCGTGTATTATACGCCGTGGCTGCACCAGGTTGAGCGAAACCGCGACGTGGCCAGACCATGACGTAGTATAGAGACAAAGAGAAATCGACTGGGAGGCCTGGTCGGGCCGTTGCATGCCGTTTTCGTGGATTGGGATACGGGGATGATTCACACCAGCGATTGGAAAATCTACCGTATATACCACAGTCACGCAGTTAGTGGCATCCCTGCATTCAGTTTCTTGCATCTTGTTCTTTCTCTCCATTCGGATTAACCTAACGCGATTCCTTCTTGACTCCACTGTCTTTGAGCTATGTTTGCGTTCAACATCATTTGCTTACCATCGTTATTTACCGTTAGTTTGGCAGTGTGAGTCGTGGTAACTGGATCCGCAGCATTTCGGCGCCCGGATCATATAGTTGTTCAAAGGAACTGAATTGAGGCAGTTTGAGTAGCACTGTGGAAGTGGTGATAATGCTCACCTAGCCATGCTCCATCAAGTGGGTGGAAAAAACGGCTTATCCGGCCTAGCTCGATACAATACGACTTTAATCGGGTGCCCATTGTCTCCGCCCATCGCGCTGAATCTAGGAGGCTGGCAGTTGTTTCTTGGGCGGTAATATTATGCACGGCGCTTGTGACGATGCTAGGCCCAAGTAGTGGTTCCTTAATTGTAGCAATTGCAGATGACTGAGACGCGGGTTACGCAACATGGTTTACATAGCTGAGAGAACAAAAGACTCTAATTGTGTGTAAGTGA